AATAACGTTTACTGAGGTCGATATATGTGATACATTAAATAAGTAGGTCGATAGTGTAGGATTTCCATCATGCAAACTGTATTATGAGAATTTACATTGTACTTATAATTTAACACATTCTCAATATCGCGATAGATGTCGTCGTTGCCGTCGCCACCATCGTCACCAAATTCCATTTTCCGAAAGTGTCGGTAGTTATTCACCTCTTCAATGATATTTTGATAAAAAGATGGCAGCGCGTAAGATTCCAATAATTCTAGTCGATAATTGATAATATCTTTTTGGTTGAAAAACTCTTCAACGTCGTTCTTGTTCATTGCGCAGGAATGGTTCCCGCGTCGAAATGTCACACTCTTTAACATTTTCTCAGCATCCTTCACCGATTGCCAATTGTAAAAAATTGTAATATTGTTAGTAAGTGATTCAGAACTTTCCTCATATTCGATATCTTCCTCTTCTTTAACATTCGACCAATTAATACGACCTTCAATTTCATGCGATCGAAGAAATTTCATTTCAAGGTATGTTTGCCACTTTAGAAGCGTTTCCCAATCCTCTTTCACCATCACTATAGCATTGTCGGAGGAGCAAGCGATTCGTAGAACTGGTGTAAGATTAAGGTGTGTACTGTAACTGTAACCTACTTCAACGAACTGACCATCGAGGAGATCGTACGAAGTACAATCGATTAAACGTTCTTCGATCACTTTATTATGTATATTTTCAATGTGGGGAGGTGAGGGAGTAGCATCATCATCATCATCATCTCCGTTGCGATTACAACACCAACACGAACACGTAAAGTAGTTATTATTGAAGCTATTTTTGGTATCTATGTGCACTGATTTCATAAGAACTGCACACCTAGACGACGATGCCAAAACTGAGCAGTTTTATGATGAAGTACTAATTTTATTATGAAATAAAAAAAAAATTTCGTATATCATGTTTATTTTTAGACTTTCATTATTAGATACAATTTCTATATTTACATAAACTTTAAATTAGTCGTTTGCCCAGCAGATCCAGCACTTGTTATGTAAACATCCTTATTGGCTATGGTGGCTCTGAATGTTTCAAGACGATTATCTTCTTTAAAGTAGTTGTAGAAACGCAAGGGTAGAACACATTTGAAGTTTCCGGTCTCTACCAGTATTCGGTCGCCGAACTTGGTGTTTATTGTGTCGATGCTTACGATTCTGTATTTCTCGCCCACCTCCATGTCCTTCACGTTTTTGAATGGCTTGCAGAAAGTGGAACTGTTTAGTGTATCAAGATCCATTTTAACTACTTCGCGTACACTTTTGAAATGATTTCAAGTCCTACTACAGCCTCACTTATATTGCCAATGTTATGGAGGGGAGAGGCTGTCACGATAAACTTTGTCACGATGACTCTGCTCTAATACAGGAGATAGAACTCTATTAATCTGTTCGATTTTACACCGGAAACGAAATCTATCGAGGGCGGCGGTTTCCCATGGTCCTTTTCGCGCTTCACGGTGAGCAAACGACCACGTCAGCATTTTATATACACAATTCTGCGATTCATCAATTGCAACGGTCTTCTTCATTGTCGGGAAGACTTATCCACTCACTTAGCTCACTACTAAATTGCTCCAACTTAGCATCCTTCAATCTGTGTATGAGACATCTCTCACATATTTTAAAGTTTAAATAACTGTCACAAATTTTTTCACCCAACTCGTACTTGTTAGCAATGGCCAGACACTCTTCTGCACTATATTCACCGTTCCCGTACACGGCTTCATGTTCGGCGTCAAATACTAACGCCGATAAGAGTTGCCTGAGGCGTTCAACTGCCGTTACAAAGTCGCTTGCTTTGGTCCATGTCTGCTCAGCATACGCTATCCATGCCATGATTACTATTATTAAATATGCCTAAATCTGAAGACTTTATAATCGCTACTCCCCTCCAAAATCTGGAGGTCAATGACCTACCCCCCTCGGCCCCTCCGACTTCGTGGGGTCGTTAAACCTCTCCACCTTCAATCGATATTGATCGCTACTCCCCTCCAAAATCTGGAGGTCAATAACCCCCCTCAGCCCCTCCGACTTCGTGGGGTCGTTAATCGTTAGGTTATTAACCTCTCTATTTAGTCACCTTCAAATGACATTGACACTAGAAAATCGCCTTATGGGATTTTACATGGAGTTGAGTTAGGATCGGCCCTATATGGCTACTGACGTCTTTTCTTAGGCTGGGCCAATAGTACGTTTCTTGTATCTTATTTGCAGTGGGGCGACCACTTGGGTGCGCCAGATTATGAACAGCATCGAAGACTCGACGTCGTAATTGAACTGGTATGTACGGCTTCAATAAATTGTTATAAGCCACACAGTAAAGCATGTGGCCGTCGAGGTTGAGGGAACGTAGTTTGATTTTTGACTTACGGAGTAAGTGTGGCAGTTGCTCATCTGTAACTTGGGCCGTCGCTATTGTGGCCGCATCGCATCTAAATAGTTGGCCATGCGATGGTGCATGAGCGAGAGAGCGCGTCAGCGACACAGTTCTCTACTCCTGGGGTGAACTCGAATCGTGCATCAAATTGAGCGATAAAATCTAGATGATTTACTTGCCTGGGAGGTGCCTTATCTGCACGTTGGGCGAGGGCGTATACTAACGGCTTATGGTCCGTGAAAATTGTGAAAGGGCGTCCTTCAAGAATCGGCCTGAAGTTTTTGATTGCGGCGAACACTGCAAGGAGCTCACGATCATATGTGCTGTATCGTTGCTCAGTGGGGGAGAGCTTGTGGGAAAAGAATGCCAAAGGAACCCATTTGTTTTCTGGCCACTGGTCTAGGGCGGCGCCAATGACGTTGCTAGAAGCGTCCGTGCGAAGTGCGAGACGGGCTGCGGGCTCGAGAAAGGCGGCGCCGACAGCTTTAGCGATACTTGCGCGGCAATCGATGAATGCTTTTTCTTCCGCTTCAGTCCACTGTAATTTAACCTGCTTTTTTGGAGCTCCTTTTAAAAACTCAGTCAATGGAGCCTGCAGGTGGTCTGCATGAGGGATAGAACGACGATAATGGTTCATCACACCCAAAAAACGACGGAGCTCAGTTGAATCGAGTGGCTTTGGGAAGTCAAGAATCGCTTGCACCTTAACAGCGGGCGGTTTGAAGCCGTTTTTCGAAAAATCATAGCCTGCGAAAATTACCTGTGATGCGCCCAGTGTTGACTTGGCCCAATTGGGATGGAGGTTTGTAGCTTTGAGGCACCGTGAAGGGTTCAATGAGGTGATGCCGGTGCTCTTCGTGCGATTTGGAATGGACCAAGATGTCGTCGACGTAGCATTTGACAAAATCTATTTTTTTAAGGAGAGGATGCATTGTCCGCTGGAGAGTCTGGGTGGCGTTGCGAAGTCCCATTGGTTACCGATAAATTCGTACAACCCAAAAGGCGTTGTAACGGCGGTTTTTGCAATATGCTTGGCTGAGACAGGGATTTGATAGAGAGCGCGATGGCGGAGATCCACGACTGGAAATACAGATCCTTTGCTTTCCTGTAGAAGATCCTCTATGATAGGTAGAGGGTAGCGGTCAGGGACTCTGGTGGCATTCAGACGTCTATAATCTCCTGTTGCTGGCCAACCGCCACCTTTTTTAGGTACCATATGTAAAGGACTGGCCCACTGACTTGAAGAAGGCTGGATAACTCCACTTTTCAGCAGTAAACCAAATTCATTTTTCGCAGCTGCTAGACGCTTTCCAGACAGGCGACGGGGACGGTCAAAAACTGGATGTCCATTAGTAACAATGACGTGTTGTACTGGAAAGTCGGACAGGACTGCCATCGTTTTGCGATGAGCCGGCGAGCTCTGGAACTCACGGACAAACGGCGTATAAACGGACCCAAGGTCACCGTCGGGCACAATGACACCTGGAGCAATTGCTACGCTATGCACTTCTGCTGGTTCGAGTTGAGCAGGAGTCGATAGTGATGTTAGCGGGTCGATAATGTATTTTTGTCGCAAGTCGATGATAAGGCCAAAATTCTGCAGAAAATCGGCTCCAAGGATTGCCAATTGGACGTTAGCAATGGTGAAGTGCCAGGTAAAATCTCGCCGGAGACCAATATTCAGTGATAATTCTTTCGTGCCGTAAGTTGCGATGTGAGTTGTTTTCCAGATTTTGCCAAATTTTCGTAACACGTTTAATTGTATAGGTATAGGCACTTCTTATATTTTGTTTATTTTGTGATCATTTTTCTCATCGTGATATTTCAACCCGAACTCAAGGTTATTTTATTTCTCTAATCTCTAAATAAAACAACCTTGACCCGAACTTACCATGAAAAATGGTTCCTCATGGCCATCTATCCCGGACTCACCTACCCTAATGCGACGATGTCAATTTTGCTTACATTTGGAAACTAACGGGCGATCAAAAAAGGATTGACCTCGAGTCGCTTTTGGAAGTTAAAGTTAAATATGATTTCCCATGATGTAGGTAAAAAAAAATAAAGGCGACTCGGTAGCAACTCTTATTTTGATCGCATAGTGTCCTGAATGAATAAGGTGTAGTTTGGGGACATATTTTATTTATTAGAGAATGTGGCTGACATTATCAAATGAGACATGAAATAGTTTTTTTACTCAGCATTGTAAATGTCTACGCTACCTTTTCGCAAAAACTCCGGCCTTTAATAACTGATATTTTCGGGTTACGGTGATCTTCCTTCCAAAAACACTTCCTTAACTTCAATGTTTTGCGATATTCCAAGATCATCAGGTTTTAGTTTGCATTAGATTGACGGTTTGAATTTCGTTAGTAATTTTTTTCTGACATGACTGTCATTTAAGAAACCAGTGTCGCCGTTAATTGTTGTGTGCCATTTGCGGTTTATTACATTTTTCATTTTGAACAATTTTTAGAGTTGATGCACTAAAATATGTAAGAAACGTGATAGATCTTTGTCAAGTCAGGAGTTGTGTGTGTGATGCTGATGACGGTGGAATAGGGTTTATCAAAAACGGCTTTCAATGCGTGATGCTTTAATTAAACACGTATATTACACCATAATTATTACATTTTGTAGTTTAGAGGATAATGGCAAAGAAAAAAGAACAAAAATATTAAGAAACAATAACATAATTAATAATAGTAGGTTGCAGGAAAATGTTGACAATATTTATAAACTTGATTCTATTGATCAATATTTGTCAGTATTGCAATAACCGTCTGAGCACTCCCTACAGTGGTTGGCTCTTGGGTGCATATTCCTGTGTTCATAACATTGCCTGTCAGAACAATGTCTTATCGCTTGCTGTACGCTCTTTCCGTTTCTTGTAGTAGCTAAAAAGAGGTAGATGATATTGGTGTATTAGATAACATAACATTAAGTACTTACTTCTAAAATAAAATATGCATCTTGCATGTGGCCAAAGGAAAGTAGCACGGCATGAATGAGTTTCGGTAATATTAATGAAGTGACGACAGTTGTTGAAGGCTTCAGGGTTGTCGTCGGAGTAAACATTGCAATAATAGCAGTCTGCGTATTGGGAACCTACGATTCGATACGTTTAAGGCAATCTAATTTAATACTCGTAGTTTTGAAAGTGATACTTTTTAATCAAGCAAATAGGTAAGTGAAAAACAGGCACTTTGAAAACGTGTTGAGGTACACGAAATTTTTTGCATAGTGATCCTTAATAACATGTAATTAAATGAAAACAATAGGTACTTTACCTACCCATGTATGGGTCCGGAAACCTGCAGCAGAACGCGAGTTACGAATAGTAGTGTTTCCCACCGTGTTTCCCGTAAAATTTTTTCTAATTTTGACATTTAAAGTGATACTTTTCATCACCGAAATATTTGACTTATCACACCTGGTTGCGAAAAGTAAGGCATTTAACAACGTCAACGAGTTTAAAAAAAGTGTCACTTTAATTGTTTAGAAAAAATAATATATATCTAAAGGTATTCGACGTGTTTCAAAAAACGTATTTCCATATACCTAGCAACAAATACTTTGCGTTTACGTAAAAGTGTTAGGTAGTATTTCCACCAAAGTGGATGACAAAACCATTTTTTTGCGTAGTGACCTACTCAAAATAATTTCCAGAACCATTATTACAGAACGTTATTAGCGAGGTTATTAGTTCTTTCTGAACTGGTATACCGATGTGCGTTGTCTCGTTTCCCTGACAAAATTGGCACATTGGACACAGCGGTAGCATTAAACAAAGCTTGAGTACAATAGTATACCGACCTACTAACACCGTTCGTCAATCTCGGAAATACGACTTTAAAGACCTACTAACATTCGTTTACAATAAAGATGACATTTACATCACTAGTTTGTAAACCAATTTCTTTATGAAATTGTTGCCATCTCTTTCTCTCTGAAGTGTTGGCATGTGTTAGAAAATGACAAACGCGATTGAAATTTGTTCACAAGTTAGTAACGTAAAGCTCATCTTTGGAGCCAACGACTGTATACGTCAATACCTTAGAACAGATGACGATTCACTTTAAATAAACGGGTTTGCAAGTGCCCGCAAAATTCCTATAAAGAAATTACACAATTTATGAGTTTGTGAGTGAAAAGGTAAAAAGATCATCGTGTTTCATTCCTTCGAAATCCCTGACTACAGGAACGCTGGAGGCGGGCTGCTCAGGCTTGCCAGAGCCTCTTCAGCCAGAGAACGGGAATGTAAGGATAGGTAAAGTTAGGGATGGGAATGGAAGGAAAGGAGTTTAGGGTGCTGAGGGGGAGGGTACTGCTCCAGCATTCGTCTCGTTATTATTATTATTTAATTCATCCGAACCAAAGTTATTCTGTGCGAAGCCGGTCGATGTACGATTCCATCCATTTGATAAGAGAATTGATAAGAAACGCAAACCATCAAAGTAGGCCCCTAGCAATCATCGCACTGGACCAAAAGTCAGCTTTTGACAATATAGCTCATAATTACTTGTTCCACGTACTGGCAAAAATGAACTTTGGAGTGAGGTTTATAAAAGCGATTGGGTTGATGTATAGCGACAACACAGTGAGTCATGTGAGATTAGGACCCTTATTGACAAGTTCAATAAGATTTGACTCTGGAATCAGAACAAGGCATTCGTCTCGTAGATTTCAACGTGAAGCTACGTATGCCTGATAATACAGGCCATTTGTTCTCAAACGGGCATCTAGCGGGAAAGTTGTGGGGTAGTTTTGATTTCTTTGATTCTATATGTTTTTTGGGGTGCTGAATCCGAATCTGAGGTTTGCCAACAACATTTCTTGACGCAACATTGAAAAAAAACACAAAAGAAGTTGAAAAAGATATTTTTTTTGCAGTTTTGTGCTTACAACTTGAAAACTATCAACTTTTCGAAAATAACCTTCCTATTCAAAATGAAAGTACATAAAATTTCATACAGACCCCACTATTTAGTTTTTTTCCTCGATGAACCGTTCGGGCTCGAGCGCCAGTTGAAAATTGGGGTATATCAGCTGTATCCGCAAATACTCATCTTTTATTATTATTTTATTATTATTCTGTGCACATATAAATCCGTACTTTTCATTGTCTACCGGTCTCCTCAAAAGATTTTATAACTGTTCCGTCTGGTATAAAACTCTCCCACTCCTTCACAGATGAGCCAAGGCCCATTACGTCACCGTGTACCTGCGTTTGCAGTCTGGAGACCCTTCCTCCCATTCACATACATACACACCCTCACAAAGTTACACAGATGGACGGACGGACAGTCCAAAATCATGAACTCGCTTTTTGTCGCTGGTTAACATGTAAATAGAAAAGAAATAAATCGGGTTCAGTTGTTAGCAGACAAATTTAAGCTGGGGTAATTGCGTTACCCCACTCCGAGGAGTACGTGATTCTTCAGAACACCGGAGCAAGAGGGATAATGCCGTTGAATAGGAAATTTATATACCCCCTTTTGCCATTTGAATTTTTGAATTAATAATGACCACAGCGCCAATTTCCCAAATTCAACAATAATTATCCAAACATGCTAAGGTAGGGTTTTGTGATTTCTTTATCTGGTTCGGAAGAGAGTGGGAATAGTTTTAGATGGCACAATATAAGTATTATATATTATAAATAATATAATAATATGATATAGTGTTGTTCGTTAGAAATTAACTTTTCATACAATTCTGGACTACAATAAACACCTTGAATGTTATAAAAATGAGAAAAAACCACCCTTACATATGAAATTCAAATAATAGTCGGTAAATGCAAGGAATTCACTTATTGACAACGCTTAATATTAATTTAGGGTTTTAGTGCGAAAAAACTATGTTTTGTGGAGATAGCCGAAATACGCCAATTTTCAACTGGCGCTTGAGCCCGAACGGTTTATCGAGGAAAAAAACTAAATAGTGGGGTCTGTAGGAAATTTTATGTACTTTAATTTTGAATAGGAAGGTTATTTTCGAAAAGTTGATAGTTTTCAAGTTGTAAGTACAACACTGCCAAAAAAATATCTTTTTCAACTTCTTTTGTATTTTTTTCAATGTTGCGTCATGAAATTTTGTTAGCAAACCTCAGATTCGGATTCAGCACCCCAAAAAACATATAGAATCAAAGAAATCAAAACTACCCCACAACTTTCCTAGTAAAAATACAATTTAACTGGATTATGAGGAAAACCCTCGTTCGTGCATAACATCATAAAAGTGTCGTTACGTACCTGAGACAACACCTACACACACCAGACCAACAGAAACCAGTAAAAGTTTAAAATACATATCTTCAAAATGATGATAATACTCGTCTATGAGGCAGCCTGCACACGCATTTATACCTACACCTCAAGAGCTTTAATAGATTAGATAAATCTTAAAATAGTTAGTGATTATCTGCTCATCTTATAATTATTGCGAAGCCCAATACTGGTTGGCCCGTATTCTACTAATTTATTACCGTATGATTTCTTTTTTTCCCAAATCGTCATGAAACCTTAATTTGCATGCCTACTTTATGTCAGGCAATTTTAGTTTCCATGACAGTGGGCCCTGCAGTGGGCGGTAACACTTTAGTCTTTAAGCTGGTATTATAGAATATTGTCACCTAACGCCGGTGTTGTTAAAAGGCATGTGAATTTGCCATTTTCGAATCGCTTCTAGAACCTTTTCAACTCTTAAGACTATTTATTTCAAAATTTCAACCAAATCGGTTGGGTAGTATCTTTCTGAACCTTGTTTACAAGAATCATGCCGCACGCACATACACCCATCCATACAGACATTTTTTAAAAAGCACATTTTTGGAATCCTGGGACCTTGGAACGTAAAGATCCGGTGAAAGCTCAAAATCGAAACTTGTATTTATTTCCACAATCTTCTAATTTTTATTGATGAGGTTAATACTCGAAAAGCTGAAGGAGAGTTACTGAAAGACTCAGGCCATTCGTTTCTCAAGTTTCTGTTTCAGAATAAAAAATATGCTTTACAAATAGGATTGCGCGAGCAGTGAGAGTAAAGGCGTGTAGGTACATTTTCATCCTTATATTCCATTAATTAGAATTCGAAATGCAAAACATAAAAAATTTGCATACATACATAGGTACATACGGACTGGTAAACAACTATTATCTCTCTTATCTATTGCCAAGGAAAAGGCCATCTCCATTTTAGATATTTATTGCGAATTTGAATCTATTAATCTCCCTACTCATATCTCAAGTGATTTATTGTGGTTTTCTATCACATCGTCGTAAACAACTTTGTTATGTAACAAACAATGAACACTCTGACTAAATCCACGCAAAGCACCACGTGTATATTATTATAAGCAACCGATTTAGTTCTGGTGAAAACCATGGTAATTCGTTGCACGTTTAATCATCTGCAGCTTTTAAGACCAATCTTTGTTCACTGCGACCTGATTGGCAGATTGTTACCACTAGCACCCATGGTGTACCACATGGATCCATCTTAGGACCTCTCTTACATAGGTATATTCTACTAAAATTATGACAGTAAGGCTTCAATTTAAAGTAGTCAGACCGCGTTCGGCTGAAGTCAAGCGATGTACTCGGCCTACCTATTACTTACGGTAAAAGTCCACAAAAAAAATTTTATGAAGGAAACATAATTAGAAATACGGTACGAGTGGTAGGTATTTTGTACCTCAGCCCAATGCAAACGTCATACATAATTTTTAAAAAGGTATATACAGTAGTCAACTTGACTTGACTAGTCTCCCTACTTCTCGACCCTGTTTCAAACCTTTGCACACTAAACTGTTGACGACACACCGTGACTAAATATTTCCAGTGTAAGCGGTAAATCCTAAACGAATATATTTATTTTTAATCAAAACGTATGCGAGACGTAGGTAAAAGCCGGGAAACTGATTAATTTGGCGTTTTACGTGGAGTCGGTGTAGTGGATTTGGTTTTGCGATGTTGGTGCCAGAGATCCCCAGCCACTATCTTGATCTCGAGCCGGTCAGTGTGTCAAGACGTGTGCACTGTGCAGGTCTTTATAAATATCGCTGGTTTTGGTGTTCCTTCTGAAAGACACCATGCCTTTTGTGAAGGAAGGAGAAAATTGTCCTAGCTCAGTTACTGCGACACACTAAGCGTCGTGAGGAAGAGGCCCGGTCAAAGATTTAAAAGCGTGCTGCATAGCGCGCCGCCAGAACAGACGCCGCGCCGGCGGCCAATATCTTCCTTATTTCATCATGAACATGTACTTTTCCGTGCATATATAGATTCGTCAAAAAATTTCGCTTCTATTGAGATTATGAGATCCATCTCATTTAAGTCTTGATACAAAAACCTTCACTAGCTCAGGAAAACCCAGTCTTTCTATAAGAGCCCATGTTAAAATATCCTGTTTTTACTCTCAAATCTCTCAGAAACGGCACATAGGAACACTTTTTTTCTTTTGGCAATTGAAAAGTGCGTCTCTCAGAGAATGAGTGACCAAATTTTCACCAACTTCTTGTTACTTTTACCTAGGCGCTCTAACTACTTTAATGTTTTTCAATAAACGGATATTATTATTATTATCTTCGTTTTTTACTCACTCATGGTGGTATGCTTCACATGAGACGGGTCTTAACCAAGTCATCATGTGGTAATGTGTGGCGTTTAGTGTCATTGGTTGAGAAACTGTCTGACCATATTTGCCGTGTTTAGTAATATGGCCTTCTGTATGTTTGTGTGTATTATTATTATTATTATTATATTTATTACACCCATCGAGATACAAATGAAATATAAACCGTCACCCTACACAGTATTCAACATTAACTTAAGTTACACAAATTGTACGAGTAAGTAGGTATATGTATGTTTGTCTACTCCACTAAGGTCCACTTTTTAGATCACAGCACATAATTTTCCTCCCAACATTCGCCCCATGTTAAAACCTTGTCTTTATTTAGTGAGCAGAACACGTTATTGATGCCCCACCACGCGACGAATTTTTCGATAGAGTCTTTCGATCTGTACCATGCGAGTTCCGTGATTATTCTTTTCTTGATTCGGGTAGTAAATATGTCTTTAAAGTTTGGTGTGCGTTTGTCGTTTTCTATGTCTTTAATTGTAATATTGTAAATGGTACTTTTTGCAAAAGATATTAGAAAATTTGCTAAGACTTCGGTTTCCTTTTTTCCTCTTATTCCGCTAATGACCATGGAAAGTGTGGTTGTCCTAGGATAGAGAAGAGCGTCACAAGTTCGTCGAACCAACTGCCAAATTCCTTGGACCTGTGGGCATTTTATTACCATATGCATCGCGTCGCATCTGGGTTTCAAGCAATAGTGGCATGCGTCAGTAGCCTTTAGCTTGGCATGATGTAAAAAAATCGGATCTGCTAGCCGGTTCTTGGCAAACCTCCATGCGACGTCCGATGATTGTCCAGACGTGAGGGTGTTGAAGAAAGAGCTCCAGTACGTTGTACTTCCCGTCCAATAGTTATACGAAACGTAGTTGTCTGGCAGTTTAAAATACGATGTTGTTAGTTGATGTTGAAGTAGTCTCCTGGTAGTGTCATTTAGATGGTACTCCTTGTCGAGGTAAGTAAATGTGAATTCACCCATTTCGGTACTATGGCTTTGGTCTGACGACCATTCATCTATTGTACCTTTAATCCTACGATACTGGTTTATAAGATCGTCTTGGAGACGAATCGAGCAAGATGACAGTCGAGATCTTATAACATTTTCTTCTAACCATATGCCCATATTTTTAAAGTCCTTGACTGTTACGAACCCCTTTGTATGCCAGTGGCTTGCGAAAAGCGGTGGAACGGTACGTGAAACCAATCGAGAATCTATTGTTGGAACATTAATTAGATCGATTTTGTCAACTGACACAGAGGACTTTTGCATCACATCGATTACATCTACAACTAGTTGTGATAGTTCCCTTTGGTATTCTGTTATTCAGAAAAAACCACTGCCAAGTTAAGCCCAACGAATCGGCTAGCTTTAAGCTATACTCTAAAACAGCTTTCCAAGGTGGGTCTGCGCTCCTATCGACGAATTTCTTGGCAAACCTAATTCGCATACTGCTGACTTTAGATGGAATGTGAATCATACCAAGCCCTCCCTTGCTGATCGGCAAACATAGGTGTTGTTGGGTGGTCCAATGCTTTCTTTTCCAAAAGAAGTCGACGATTTTTGTTTGTAGGCTGAGTTGTTGCTGCAGTGTGATGGGTATGCACTGCAACGTGTGCCATAGTTTCGGAACCACGTACTGGTTTAATACCATTTTCTTTCCTGTTGTGGATAAGGAGGGTAACATACGCTTCCATTTGGACAGTGTATCTAACGACGTTGCCATAGAATTGAAAGCGTATAACGAATCTTCGGATTGATCATTAGATAAGCTGATTCCCAATACCTTTATTCTATTGGACCATTCAATACCGAGTGGTGTGTCCGTTCTCCCTTTCCAAGATCCTCCCCAAAACCCTTTACATTTTGTTAAATTTAGCTCCGATCCCGAATTGTCAGCGTACATTTTATAACAGACCTTAAGTGACCGGAAATCTTCGTCTTGTGAGGTAAATACTGAGACGCCATCCGCGTACGCACTTAGTGTTAAGTGGACTTTGGGTGAGGTGGGGAGTGTGAATCCTTTAAGGTATTTTCTGGTTAAGGCTAGGAATGGCTCAATAGAAATTGTAAACAGTGGCCCTGACAGGGGGCAGCCTTGTCTTACACCGGTTTCAAATTTAATAGAACTTGTTAAAGCAGCGCCCAGTCTTGCGTGACTTTGCATATAAAAGCTTAACCGCCTTAATGAAGAACGCTCCTACATTGATTTTCTCAAGTACTAAAAATAAGTATTTGTGTGAGATCTTATCGAACGCTGACTTTTGATCTAAGTTGATAATCGCTAGTGGAACATTTTGTTGAGTTGCATGTTGTATTAATTCTCGTTGCAAATGAATAGAGTCATACATAGAGCGATTTGTCACCGAATAGCTTTGGTCTGGATGAATTATCTTCGTAAGTACTGTTGTTAGTCTTATGGACAAAACTTTTGCGAGTATCTTATAATCCGTGCACAATAAGGAAACAGGTCGCCAGTTTCTTAAGTCTAATAGGTCTCCTTTCTTGGGCATTAACGAAATGACTGCTTTCCTCATGGAGTGTGGTAGAGTACCATATTTAATTGACTCTTGAATCATACGCAGAAACTGAGATTTGATTATATCCCAGAATTGCAAATAAAATCGAACCGTTAACCCATCAATACCGGGTGCACTTTTTTTGTTTAAACTATGAAGTGCATCTGCTAGCGCGTCTATTGTAAATGGCTGTTCCAACGAGTTTTTTTCTTCTTCCGACAGTACCCAGA